TTCACGCGACTCGTAGCACGGCTGCTCGAGCAAAAGTATAGCGTCTTTCGTCGTCAATGTCGTCAATTCAAACGCGCGAGTGCGACAAATTTTTGCTATGCATGTTCAGGACAACGACGCGGAATTGATCGTGCGTAAAATAATGCGTGTGTTCATATTTAAATAAAGGTTGATAGAATGTGCTATATATATTCCTTAAAGATACATGCACATTTCCTTAATATCGTAAAATAATTTGTGCCAATTACACCTTTGGCTAAAAGTTCTAAATATCTTGTTAATCAGTATTTAATTTTTCAGTTAATAAATTAATTTAAGACACTATACTGTTACTGCAAATTATCTGTGTTTCAGAAATTCTTTAAACTTACATATAATTCCGATTATGGCTCGATAAAATAACATACGAGAATTATTAAAAATAAAAAACATAAAATAAATTTCAGAAACTTAATTAAAATACAAAATCGTAAAAATTGGTAAAAAGCAGATACGACTTGTTTAAAATAAAAAATATAAAATAGTTTCCGGAAATTTTTATATAAAGTATTAAATAAGAAATAAGTCTGAAGTGTAGTTATTTAAAATAATGAATACTACTCGTATAAATAATTCTTTTAATTTTTTATTTAAATTGTATACTTTAATTTTCGTCGGTTTTACGAGTATATAAAAATTTTTTAATGGTTCTTACGTGTATCTTGACATCTTTAGAAAGTATTTGTAAAGTTGTATATTTATAACAAATTATATATAAATTGTTATAACTAAATATAGTTAACGAAATGGGAAGTATGTACTTTTTCATACAAAAATGTAAAACACTGAAACAAAAAATTTAAACTTCCCATTTATATGTGTTCTAAGTTGGGATCCGATCTGGTGATGGGGGTTCGATGTCGCTTCTCTCTATATTGGACTTTACTTTAAACGACTCGTTTCGAAAAAGTTCCACATTATTCGGTAACTCGAACCTCGAAACTCAAAATCGACATTTTCAAGATGCCAATTCAAATTAATAGCATCAAAAATATCGACGTGTCGATATGTACGAATAGTATCGATATGTCGAAATTATCGAAACGAAAGTATCGATGAAAACTATCGGATATCGGACTGAAAACTATCGATACTGAAAATATCGATAAAGTATCAGGCATCCCTATCTCGCGATAGTATTCAGCATGGGTCTGTTTTCTGTGGCTGAACTAGTGTACCCTTTTGGAACTTAAAGTGTGAAGGATATACGTTTGATATTTGTTTAAAGCGAGAAAGAGAGTTCTAGAACAGTCTAGTGCAGGAACAGAAAACAGACCAATATTCAACCACGTTCAATGCGTCGTGTCGTTTCGTACATTCTTCGTTCGAATCTCGTGCTACGTCGGAGAGACACAGCTTTCAAATTGTTATAAGATGATAGACTTTCGTACTAATCCGGGAAAGGCTGACGGTGACAATGGAAAATACAGTAACACTAATATACCAGGTAAGCAAAAAGATCTCGAGCAATATGCTCGATATTTATTGAGCTGCTCCAAACTTTTTTTCGTCGTGTTCTTTTTAAATTTCTTTTGATAATTAACAAAAAGTTTTCTTAGACATCGACGAGTAGAACATCGGCTATCATATAATTATGTAATCTAAAATTATCTCATCACGAATGTTTATTTGCTTATTTAATTATTTAGACCTGTAACGAGGTGCGTTTCTAACCTCTTCATTGAGGTTATGAATATATAGTCATAATTTCTTTTTTTAAATATCAATGACATTTATAATTATAAGACTGTCGAAAGAGAATATATGTTGCGTACAAGTATTGTACAAGTTAATAAAAAATAGAGAACTATATTTTTACTGATGAAGTAAAAATAATCGTATGCAAACTCCAGCTTCAGTTTTGGACTGTTACAAGACAAACAAATAATTGAGATGTAGTTTAAACTAGAAATTGTAAAATTTACAAAAAAAATATTAGACACCAAGATCTGAATAATGTTTATTTGACTGAATAACATCTTTTTTTACTAATGCAAATAACTTCAATCTCGTTTAAACTTATTCTTCATATTTTGCTCATTTTTACAAGAAAAAGATGAAAAGTTAAATTAAAATTTAAAATAATCTACATAATGTGTGTATATATACACACATGCAGATTATTTTTAACCTCAACTTAACTTTTCATCTTTTTCTATATATATATAAGATTTTCTTTGCTTACTTGTGTCATAAAAATAATATGCCTTGTTATATAAAGGATACATTTGAGAGTTTATAATAAATAGAGTTAATGAACTACAAACAAGTTATGAACGAAAATAAGTCACTCTTGGTACCTTACATTGCTTGTTAAGAAACTTTCATTTTATTTTTTAGTTACGTCACAACAAGGTTTAGCTTCACTTAGCCCATATTTAAATTTTGACCCATCATACCTTCCTGTCAGTCAGCCGGAATTCATATTTCCCGATGGTGCTATGAAACAAAGAGGCCGCTTTGAGTTAGCTTTCAGTCAAATTGGAGCTGCATGCATAGCAGGCGCAGGGGTTGGTGGCGCATCAGGTTTATATAGAGGTGTCAAGGCGACGTCTATTGCTGGCGAGACTGGCAAACTCAGAAGAACACAGTGCGTTATTATTTTTTGTATCCCTTTTGATACCTAAAGAATTGTGCATATGTATGTATCTTCTTTCCAGATTAATTAATCATGTTATGAAAGGTGGTGCCAGTATGGCAAATTCACTCGGCGTGATGATGATAATGTACACTTGTGCTGGAATAGGTCTAACTTGGCTCAGAGGAACCGACGACAGTTTGAATACAGTAGCCGCAGCTGCTACGAGTGCTGCGGTATTCAGATCGCCTGGTATGGAGTCTGATCATGTACATATTGCTTATTTGCTACAATAACATAATTCAAAAATTATCATGTTTAATTGCTTGCAAAAAAGAAACAGAACTTATAAATAAAACAAATCTACTTTAAAAGTATATACTTTTATTCTTCTACAATCAATTATTGCCTTCTAAAATTAAAATTAATGATTCAAAATATCTAAACTCATTTTTTGAAAACTTTCTTCAGTTATTGTAGCAAATGAAAAATATATTATATAGTTACATATATTACAAGTTGTTGTAGTAAATGAGTAACACGTATATTAGAAGTTATATTTCTTACAATAAAGTGATGTGTATTTTTTTATTTTAGCTGGGATCAGAAAAGCTGGTATTGCAGGCGCTATTGCAGCAGGGGTTGCAGTGATGTACTGCGCCTGGAATAATGGAGGCTTGTCGTTGCATCGTGTGAATAGATGGAAACATGCGGCGTAAGAGTGTGTACATATTTTAGTAAAAAATTTAGCTAAATAGTAGACATAATTAAATATTTTTACATATATTTCATTACTGCTACTGCTGCAACAATACTGACGGCAGTGTTATAATATTTAAAAAAGTTAAAGTTTTCACATTATAACATTTATATATCTATCTGCATAACATTTATATATCTAAAAAAGATACTGCGATAAGGACGCACATAAAAAATATATATACATATGTATATTACTTAGAATGTCATGGTTTAAAGCAATGATGTGCAATTGTTTTTAAACTGAGAGCCATCTTGCAGCTTGCTGCGGTCGCATAATGTCTATTTTGATAGGCTATATATACATAAATATATAATATGTACGTATGCATATACACACATATATGTGTGCGTGTGCGTGTTTGTAATAACAGATTTTATTTTATTTATGTAATTTGTTATAAATTTTACACATGTTATAGATAAGATTTATAAGATAGAAGTAAAATATATAATAAGAATACCATCTGTTTTATATGTTAAATGTTATAATTGAATAATGTGATAATTTTTTTAACGAAATTTATGAGTTACCATATAAACTTTTTACTTTGTAAAAAAAATATTGTTATTGCATAAAAATAATATATTATGGATTAATACGAGTGCAGTGAAGTAATTCGAAGATTTTATTTACTACAAATTTAGAGAAATGATCTCTATTCTGTTGGTCCATTTGGCTAATATGACGTTTTTGTAAATAAATTATACAGATAGACATTAGATATGCAACATAAATGTAATGCATAATTTTTCGTAGCTTTTTCATGAATCTAAATCCGGCAGCGAAATTTTTGTATTACGTCAAATTTTCAAAAGTATAAAAAAACATGTTTTTAGACATTTTTTAAACAACATTGTAGATGAATCTGATGAGATACAAAAATCTCGCTGCCGGATTCGAATTTAGAAATAAAAAATTTATGGAAAATGATACAGCTCATTCATGTTGCACATTTGACGTCCACCTGTGTTGTTTCCCAGAATAATGAATTGTCTTAATTTTTGTAATTATTCTTATTGCGTTATAAATGAGACATAAGTTGGCAATTATAATTAAATTATATAATATATAATTTATATAAAGAATTATAAATAATTATAATAATAGAAAAATTCTTTCGCGGAAGTGTCAAATTTAATAAATATTCTTATGTAATTTCTTGTTCTTTCTTTTTGCAGATTGATATAACAAATTAACATCCGTACTATAAAAGAGGTCTCCGATGCTTTTTCATATCTTCATGTTATCTTGTACATAGAAAAACTTACGTACGACGCAAATAAATTATTGAAGGAATGTTAGAAGAAATAAATTTATTGAAACCAACCAGTATTTTTAAATAAACAGACTGATATAATATGTACGTATATTTACGATTTAATATTGTATATATACTCACCCGCAAAAAATATAAGCCGTCAATACAATGACCCGTATTTTTTGCGGATGAATATATTTTATTAAGTCAAATAATAATAAGTCTTATTTGCAAATATAAAATTATAATCCCGAATACACATACGCTTTTACAAGATCGATGGCAGTTCTGTTTGTTGGATAGGCATTGCCAGAAAGGCGTTAATCTTATCAAGGCTTATCTCACTATCAGGTCTCGCGCATATTACGAGAACGGGAATATGTTAGAGCATATTCGATCGTGTATACACGCGTGTGTACTGAACAAATCGGAGTATCTATAATTCACCAACGCTTAAAAAAACGAATAAACGTACAGATAATTTGAAACAGGATAAAATTAGAGAAAATTATTTGTGTGGCTGTTATAACGGTACGTGATTTTTACAATGAAGCCACCGTACGAGGCATAAAGCATAGTGTTGCATCATATATTGATAATTAGAAAGAATAATGCAAATTTTATGGATACTTTTAGTGAAGTGATTTATGTATGATCAATCTATAGATGCGTTCGGGCAGACACTATTAGTGCTATTTATGTCATTCTACCCTTGTTTTATGTCTAGTAAACGATGAAGATAGAATGACATAAATAGCGCCAGTAGCGTCTCCTCGAACGCATCTTTTGTCTTACAAGCAAGAAAATTAAAGCGATTGCAAATGGTGTTTGTCTATTTAAATGCACGATATTCTTATCTATCTAATGTTTTAAATGCATTTAGATATTAATTTCAAATGCAAATGGCGATATACAAATATTGAAATTTTCTAGATAATTATGATGTACTTGAATCGCGATTCATTTTATACATAATAATCGTTTCCTCATATTTTAAAGATGAGAGAAATATATGAAGATTAACCGAGCTGAGAAATTTCCGACTATAAGAAAGATGAAAAATCGAATTTATACACAAAAGAAATAAAAGTTTTTCTATGTATAGAACGAAGCGTACGCGATTTTGCAAGTCGGCAATAATTGGTTATTTAATTAACAAATTAATTAGTCGTGAGGAGGTAGAGAGATATAAATGGTATCTGTCGCGTGGAGCAGAAGGCTGAGCTGCTTGAGCGCGCACCGAGTCAATATTTGACCCGCGAGATTCACGATCGTTGTCGAACGTAGGCTGTGTGATGACGAGAGAATATTTATGAAAATGTGCGGCTTATTTGAACAAGAACACACACGTGCGCGCGTAAATTCTTGCGTATACAACATATGTTATTGCACGAAGCGCAAGAAGCCCAGCAAAAGTAGTCACTTTGAATTTTCCGACGCCGATGGACGTGATTCTGCATAAAGTTTAAGGAAAGCAGTTAAGTTTTAGAGTTAAAAATAATCGATCGCACACACACACACACACACAGACAGAAACTTTCTAACTCTAATAAAATTTCCTACAGCTCTACGATTATTTGTAGCTATTTGTTTCTTGAAAATGATTTTAATTTGGAGAAAAAAATTAAATATTTCTCTCTAAACTTTTCTTTTTTCTTAAAAATTTAAATATAAATGTATTACTTTTGTAATTTTATTAGAACATGAATCGAAATGATTTTTCTCTTTAAATTGCGAAAAAGAAAAAAAACGGGAAACTCTTTATTACTTTTTTATCTTTATTATCTTTTATTATCTTGCTCTTTCGTTAAATTTCCAAGACTTGATCTCGCAAAGTTCTTTTCAAATCGCATGCATATTGCATTATGTCTGCATATTGTCTGCGCCGCATCATCCTCGTCACAAGCAACATCATCGAATAATAAATATTAACTTTCCATGAAAAAACTGAGGTGATATTAATTAACAGTTGAATTTTAGAATTAAAAAACGTCGATGGTCGAAGCTTTCTAACAAAATTTTTTTTATATGGTTTTACAGCCGTTCGTAGTAATTTATTCCTTAAAAATTTGATTCCGAATTTTGGGAAAAGAAGAAATTGAATATTTCTCTTTTCTTTTTCACAAATTTAAATATAAATGTATTACTTTTATAATTTTATAAAAGCATGAATCGAAATGATTCTTACCCTCTTTGAATCTTGCGAGAGGAAAAAAGAAACAAATAAAAAAAACTTTATGACTTTCTTTACTTTTTTATTAAATTTTCAAGACTACCACAAAATTTTTCTCAAATCATATACATCATTGCGTATCGTTTGCACCGTAACGTCAAAATGTGAACAATGTTTAACTGCACTTGTCATTAAAAAGCAGGTGATGCTAATTAACCTTAATTAACACCTCTGCATCTAGCTCCAGCTAGATAGAGAATGAAGAATTTTATTACTCGATCGGAGCTCATCAAGCAGTCAACCTTTCAGTCTGTTATCTGCGATTCTTGCAGGTGCGCATACGTATTCGAATTGTCGTGAGTGCTCTATTATTTATACGTTCAGTCCCACCACTTATTTACGTTGCAGGTTTGATTAATGACTCGACGGCGTATTTTTCAAGCTTCGTCAGCCGCTTATTATAACAATTTGTGTCGAAAACTAGGGCAACGAATGTTTTTGCTATATAAGTAAACACGTGTTTTACTTTAATCTTTCAAGTTTTTAGTAGCTTAAATTTGTGCAACGTGTTCTAGTTTTCTTTTAATATTCCTTTGCAGAGTAAAACATATAAAAAGAAATTTAACACACATGTTACCCGTTTACCAACCTGATAGGCAAGCTCCAACAATTTAACTCGTTTTTAGCTGTATTTAATTGATTCTTTGTTTTTGTCTAGATTCGTGTCTAATATCTGTTACAATAATAAATATAGGCAGTGTTGGATTATTCAATAAATTATTATAAGCATTAATTGCTTGATAGTGAAGATATATACAGGGTGTTTGATAAGTAACGATAAAACTCTCGCATAGGAATAGAGAGAACTAAACTGAGTCGAAAAATCCTCTACCATTTTACAATTTTCGCAATAGTTAACAAGATATTAATTATTAAAAATCGTCGAATATTGATTTTCAATAATTTTTCACTTAAGTACTATTTTTACAGAAAAACGGCAAGAGACCAAAAAAACTTTGTTTTTCTGAAAAATTGATAGCACTTGAGTAAAAAATTATTGAAAATCAATATTTGGTGATTTTTAGTAATTGATAGCTTGTTAATTATTGCGAAAATTGCAAAATGGTAGAAGACCTTTCGATTCAGTTTAGTCCGCTCTACCTCTATGCGAGAGTTTTATCGTTACTTATCAAACACCCTGTATAATTAGGAATTATAAAAAAATACAGAAGGTATTATTAAATAAGGATATTTTTTTAACAAAATAGAAAAATATAAAAACAAAATATGAAAATTATTTAAAAGTTACAGATTTTTCCGTGTTGTATTTTTAAGAATAATACAAAAAATTTTGTGGCGACTTAGGATCTAGATAAAAAATTATTTATTAATAAAAAATAGACATGTTTTCTAAAAATAATTAAAATAAAATAAGAAAACTTTTATTTATTTTTAAACTATAAAATTATACTGTTTAATAATGTTATATAAATATTATCCTTATTGATCAACTATTTCATATGTATATAACATTCATGCATTTTTATACATAAAGTATTTCCGATTCTAGTCACTTTTTGCAGAGAATTAATATGCCCAGACAACAGCACACAGTATTTATAAAATATTTAAAAAATATTTGTAAATATTTAGAAGATTTATTTTGAATATTTTGTAAATAATTTTGTGTTTTTTTAAATTGAACAAATTACAAATATTTATTATAAATATAATGACATATTTATTGTAAATGTTGTAGTAAATGTTAATGAAATTACTCACAATAGTAAGATAATTATAAGTAAAAAATACTTACTAGAAATATTTATTTATATTTATCATAAAAATTACATAAAATATTTAGTCTATATTTTAATGATATTTTGAATAAAGCTTTATATAAGATATGTATAAAATATTTATATAACATTTCAAAAAACAAATATAATAATAAATATTCATCATAAATATTCTGTGCTGCCTAGATATATATCTGATATATCTTTAATATATCACAGTATATTGCATTTTACGTTATTTAATAATGATATTCTAAAATTTATAGAGTGAAGACACTGCGCATATCAATGATGGAAAACTGATTTCACCCGAATGCGCGAAACTGGGTGTGCGCGTGATAGGAGACAGATGAAATTGAGAAATTTAATCCGCTGAAAATAGATCTGTCGAACATGGAGAAATAGCTTCTCTAAAATATTTGTACCGTTCTCAACATGTTTCGCGTGTTTTACAATCCTACGCAAATCTTTACATCTTGCGTTTCCTGTCTATCCGCGCCGCGCTATAGTGAATCACGATATTCCGAGACCTTGACAAAAAGTGTCGAAATAACAAACGAAAGGTCAATGATAAAAGGTCAAAATTAATTATACAGAAATTAAATAAAGTTGAACATGAAACCAATAATTAAAATTAGCAAACATTTAAAAATTAACTACATTCAGAACAAGTAAATTTTTGGATTATTAAGCCTAACGTTATACCCTGAAGATGGTTGAAAAAAGCAACCGAAACGTCGGAAATATATGCACAGGAGAAGAATAAAAGAGAATTGTAACGTACATTAATAACAATACTGTATACTAGCTTTGACTATTGATTTTGTAATTTTGTTTTTGATATTGAGAGCTCGAATTTATATTATTAAAATTAGTATTTTTGTCGAATTTTTCTTTAGAATTAAAACGTGACTTATTAATCACCACTATAATATAAAGAATTTTAATTTAAACATACACAATATCTTTTACCTTTTTGACGAGATATAATTGTCAAAATCATAATATTTTTATTGATTATCTCTTCTATTTTTCTTATTTCATATGATTATTAATTATTATTATTATATACCCTGATGAAAATTGTTCTTACAATTTTTATACGAATTGGAACATTTTTCAGAAATACTCAAAAATATTCGGAAAGTTTATATCTTCTCTCAGAACTTTTCATACAAGTGAATTCTGAAATTTGTCATCCTATAATTTTTAAAAAGTATTTTTAAATTTTTTAGATTTTATAACACACACACACACACACATTTCATCAGAAATTATACTTACAAAAAATCTTAAAAATCTTATGATATTTCATAATTAACATACATGAAAAATTCTGAGAAAAGATGTAGATTTTCTAAGAAATGTTCCAATTCGTATAAAAAATGTGACAGTTATAAAATTATAGAGAAATTCTGAAAAATTATATGAAAAATTCTGAGAAAAATTTTTACCAGAGTAATTAACAATGTTAGTTATCTAGATTATTTTTTTCTCTAGAGATATGTATAAATTAGTTAAAAGAAATAATCCTATATTTGGTTGTAACAGATTTTGCTGCTTAATAATATTCATATGCAAATTTTTGCAAATATATTATTCATTTTTAGAAATTACGCGCCGGATTTGAAACGCAATCGCAAATAGAAGCTTAATGTATATATATTAACGTAATTCTTAAGTTAGATTGATCATCATAATGTAATAATGATATATTAATAAGCATCTTTAAAAACATAAAATTATGAACATTTATAATTGAACTATTTTAGGTGCAATAATCATAAAATAGCTTATTCAACTATATACATTAATTATTATGTAAAACTTGTATATAATTGTTGCCACTATATATGTTTTTTTCTCTGAGTACCTACATTTTAATGCAGGAGTAAGATGATGTAAGAAAAACGACATTTTTAACTTTGATAGATCTATAACTCTGTAATAAAAAATAGGACGAAGAAATCAGGCTTATAAAATTGATTTTCTCTATCTTCCAGATAAACTCATGTCGCATGTCATACACGAAGCTGTAATTATTAAAATATGAATAAAGAAAGAATTTTTTTCCATGGAGAGAGAGAATAAGATAGATGTTGCCATATTATATCTTTTGCTGATGAACATTTTTTAACGACAAACAAGTGGATACGTATAAAGAGTTCTTTTCTAATTGATAATTTGGATAGTTCGGAGGAGGCATTATATAAGAAACAATTATGAATTCAAAGCAAGCAGAAATATGGCTGGCGGTGTTGTATACCGGATCCATGATATTCTCCGTCACGTCTGTTGTATCCCTGGTGACGACATGGCAGAATTGGGTAGTGACATTAGACGGTTGCATCGATGTTGATTGCGGCTGTATATTATACGGTATCAATACATTTCGCACATTTCTCGGCGGCGACGAGAAACTATGCCACTTCGCCGCGTACGCTCTCACACCCATCACAGTAATCAGTTTGTGTCTTGGGGCCTATCATGGATACAGATGTTGCATACATAAAAATTTAGATGATCCTAAGCAAATTAATCGCGGACAAGTGTACAATGACAACAGGTGCTTATCCTTCTTATTTCTTTCCGGTAAAAAATTTGTCATGCATGAATATGTATAAACATGTATAAATATACATAAATATGTATAAATATTCATAAACATACATAATTTTATATGAAATATGTCCATATATGTTCATACATTCTTCTTTCTTTTGTAAAATTACTTTTTAGTGTAATAGAAATAATAATAGCAATGTAAAAACATTAAAAATAATTAAAAGAGTAATTTTTGTTTTAGAAAAATTCAAGTTTGAAGAAATATAATAAAATTACTTATGTATAATTATATATAAAATTATACATAATTGTGTATGAGCAGTTTTTTTTACATTTTTCCAAACTTGTTTTTTTCTAAAACGAACAATGCGAAAATGATCCCTTTAATTATTTTTTATGCTTTCAAGTTACTATTATTATTTTTATTGCACTAAAATTTTACAAAAGAAAGAGGGATATATGAACATATATGGAACATATATATTTTATGTTATACATGTTTATGAATATTTATACATATTTATACATATTCATGTATGAAAAATTTTTTACCGGGATTTTTATTCATAATTATGTGTATGTTTTTCTAATTACATTTTTCTTGTAGAAGAAATCTTAATGGCTATGTTGTGGTCCATGTAAAGAAGAGAGTTGCTTTTAAGCGGTGGATGCCTATCGGTTTCCTTGCAGCGCTTGTTTGCTGCCTGTCTCTCGCCCATGCGGTCGTGATAACCGACGGCTACTATAAAACTTGCGAACAATATAGACGAAATCTCATTCAACTCTTGGGTTCGAGAGGCCGCGAAATTTTAGTAAGATGAACATTTTTTTTCTAACTTAATCCTCCGGAGCTGATGCCAAAATCTGTAACAGTTACTTACTTCATACTGGGTTTATAAAATCCATTTAATTTATGTTAATTGAATTTCGTATACTATAAAAAACGAATGAATATTAAGTATATTTTAATAAAAATAATTTTTACAGATGTAAAGAAAATTGAATTGTTTGACTTTTTGACAAAAAGATTTATAATAATGGTAGTAGATAGGTCAAAAAGTTGAGTGGGATCATTCGACTTTTACTGTTAGTTCCGAAGGGTTAAATAATTTTAGCGACTGATATATCCCAAAAGTAAAATGAATTTAAAGAGTAGAACTCTATTTTAATTTATTCTTGTGTATAGGCGATTCATAATAGGTTGTCGTGCGGCGCGATTTTCGATTTCATGGATTATGTTCAGCCAGATAAGAATCACTGGAGTCGCACCGAGATGAACACCGGGATCGCGCTTCAACTCGCAATATATACGAGCTGGTTAAATTTCGTCGCTTGGATACTCGCGTGCTCTATAAACTTCATCATGGCGAGGAAAAAGCAGCGCAATTTAGGAGAAAAATTTTGTTGCTGTTGAATGACATCCTTTATAAAATTAATTAGTGGCAAACTCTTGACAGTATTTTGGTAAAATATAATAAATAAGGATATTCTCTGAAAAAATATAACAGGACGCAGGCGTATATGATTGATACTCATGTTAATAGTATACATTTTATTTATGTATTTTATACAGAGATATAGTGTTTTCAATAACTATTTTCTTCGTATCTGTGCCTAATATAAAAAAATTAAAGATTCATCTGCTCTGCCGTGGAAAATAATCGCGTCCCTCTTTCATATTTTATATAATCCCTTTCATATTTTATATAATCCCCTATTCTCTTTATACATTTTTACACGACTTTCATTACTATATTACACATACACATGTGCGCACACATTGGAACCATATTTTTGATCATCCCAAGAAGTTTAAAAATCCACACTGTTAAACTTAGTATAAACGAGAGCGCGTTATTTCTTTCATATTATTACCTTGCTGAAACACGATAATTATATTATTCATGATAAATGGTAAAGAAAAATACTATAACCTGTTAGTGCAGGCAGTGACACAATTTTTAAATATAACTAATAAAATATATCCGTAAAACTTTCCGACACACATATTTAAGACATTGATTTTTTTCCTGCGGGACGTATACATGAAAAAGAATACGAAGAAGAAAGAACCTATAAACCATACAATAAATAAAACAATATGTGAAAATTTAAAGAAGGAATGTATTGTATCTATATACTATATATGTAGAATTGTAAGAATTTATACAATCGAATTATATTCTTCTTAGGGTGTTAAATTAAAAATGCTCAGTATTTCCTAGCACCTCCAGTTCGTTCTATTTTATACATGGTGCACAGAATGATGAAGTATATTATTTTAAGGCTTGGAATAACAACGGTTCTTCCGTATGTTCAATAAATACTTTGAAATTATTACTTTTCGTCGAATTTTCATCATGTCGCTGAAATTCAATGTTTAATTTTCTATGTTTGCATAAATAACTCTTACTTTTGCAATGACGACATTAAAAGTAGCTTTTAACTTCCCCTGTAAATATACATACATCTCACCGTTATGTATAGGAACTAAACAGAAAACAATTTCTTAGATACATTATCCCTTACATATACAAATACAATTGACTCTTTATCTTATAATACTATCAGCTTTTATTCTACATAACAGCAGAGACTTGCAAGCTTGAACGCTACTCGATAAAGGAAGGCACCTAAATCATACAAGCTATAATATCTACAAATTATATTACATTTTGTTATATACATATATATGAGGCGGGGCATTTTAATCGTCACAAGCGGATATCTTGGGAACTAAGAAAGATAAAAGAGTTGTATGTAAAAGTTATAGATTTTCTTGAAAGGAAGAAGATGAAAATAACGGATTTGAAGAGCCATACTAAGGTCAAGAGTAACATAAATCTTTGAATGGAAACTTCTATTTTTTGTTATATTTTTGTCAAAACGATTTCAAAACACTGGTTATAATACGTTTTAAGTTGAAAACTAGGGTGCGATCCATTTCAGGCTGCAAATGCTTTGAAATATTCTCTGATTGGCCAATTCAAACAATTCTTTCTTCCTGATCAGTCAACGAAGCATTTACAGCGTTAAATAGTTCGCACTTTTAAAAATAAGGATTTCCATTTAAATAAAAAATTCATATCTACTTTGACTAATTCTTATAACGTCTCCTATACAAAGTTCGTTTTTCACCTTCTTTCCTCTAAGAAAACATGTATTTTACGAAACTTTTATATAAATTTTTTTTTACCTCTCTTAATATTAATTCTCTCCGCTTGGGATAAAATGTCCCACTCACACTGCACACACACATATATATATACATATATACATATATACGTGCGAGCCTGCGCGCGCGCGTGTGTATGTGCATAAAAACACATAGATTATAAACATTTTTTTAAAGATATATGGGATGTACAATCTCTATAAAGAAAATTAAATTTGGAAATGTATTTAATATTTACACTTCAAATAAACTATGTACATATGAAAGTTATGTAAATAAGATTATATTTTTGTTTAATAACACATTTTTGTAGTTTATTTATTTTATATTAAAAATAATAATTAAAATTAAAATATTAAAAATGATAAAAATTAAAATTTTAAAAATGATTAAAAAATTTACGTTTTTCAATATTAAGAATCTTTTATTTTAGACCGCATATGTGAGAAACACAATCAATACTAGAAAAATGCCTATTACAATCAAAGCTGGATCTTTATTGCTTTAAATAATTTAATCTTGAATTACTAATATACACTATATATGTACTTGCATATTGTAGTCTTTTAGAACTGCGCGCCGAATTGTTTTTCCGGACTATAAACGCAATTAAAAAACTACTCTAGTAATCGCGAATTAAAAAAAAAGCAATTTAATAATTTGATACTATCATCAAGCATCATATGATAAAGATGTTAATATGTTAAAACTGTTAATAAATTTATTGCGAAAAATATTACCTCGGCCGGGACTTGAACCCGGATCTCTTGTATTTCGTACGAGCGTCCTAAGTCATTAGACCACCAAGGTTTCTAAAAGACTACAATATGATATATATGCAAGTACATATGTAGTGTATATTAATAATTCAAGATTGAATTATTTAAAGCAATGATTGTTTACATTTTTCTTTTATAAGTACTTTAAATATTCAAAATAATTTGTGTAAAGTTTTATTGCGATTCACTGATTAGTTACAAAGATATAGAACAAATATTTTGTTTATTTACTGGACAATTAATTCATGCATCGCAATGTAACTCTACGTAAATAATCTTAAATACATAATGTACTTATATTAAAAAATTGAGATTTTTATCATTTATTTTATAACACATTTCCATATATTTTTATTAAAAGACAGATTAAAAAAATACTACTATTTGCTAAAATAACTTATAATCCAGATAGTAAACCGGCACCAAATTTGTCGTATTATTTTTAAACGTGATTTAGAATAATCTGTAATTTTTTCATAATTTTATTATTTTGAAAATATGTATAAAACTTAAATAATATAAATATATATACAAACACATATGTGTGTATATATATATATATATATATATATGTGTATTACGCACGCACGCACGCACGCACACATATTGTCACATCTTTTTACACTGAACTAGATTCTTTTCGTAGAATCGATTAAAAAGGCGCAGTATATTAGCAGTATAAAATTTGGTTAAAATAATTTCCAAAGTTATATAAAAAGTATTAAAATTCAATTGCTGAAATCGAATAATTTAACACATACAAGATATTCTCTCAATGTGAGATAGAAAAATTAACGTCGATAAGTATTCTTACTAGTACCTATACACTAAGTACTAGTATCACGTCTATTTTTCATACATTTTATTTAACAGTCTCCATCATAAGAGGCATAATAATCGCGTTATCAGTATTCGTTTCGAATAATTCGTGTCTATGAACCATAACATTGTCAAAACATAGCTATCTTACACAATATAAATGTAAATCGAGACTGTTAAACAATAAGTCAGTCTTACACAATAAGGCCAATTCTATAGACGAACCTATTCTTTACAAATGTTATGAATCGCTTCACAATGCTATTATCTGCGCCTTTGTAACACTAATTTCTGTAAATTATTCATTATGTTAATCTCTTCATACTCTGTTATAATCTCTTCTCCAAGAGACCATAAATATATATAATAAAAATTTCTCTTTTTCACCAATTTTGCAATGAATTACGTTTACAGATATATATATATGTATATAGTACACAGATTAACTTTCTTAGAAAAATTGCTTTATATGAACTAGTAGATTGAACTAGTAGAAATCTACAAATTTTGTAAAGTACAAACGTAGTGAAAAGACTTAGCTGCAAAAATAGATGCACGAGCTTTCTCTACCTAGTTTTATCATTTTTGGTATCGAGCTGCCAAGTTCCACAACCTGGTTTTATGTTAAATCATAAGTTGGGAAGTGTCTGTTTTTCTCTTTCTCTCTTTATCTTTCTCTTCTTTTCTTTCTCACTCTTTCTTTTCAATATTTCAAAAATCAACAGTTTTCTTTAATATAATGTCTTTTTTCCGTCAATTTCTTATGGCTATCTGTCTTGTCTGTGTAAATCTTCTAAAAATGCAAAAAGTAATTAAAAAATGGTAGTATATGAATTAATACTTTCCGACATTAGTGTAAATTACGCTTTATACGATCCATCACACGTTTGTCAGTTAGGCATGTGTACATATAAATATATTTGCTCATGCTGTATGCCTTCTGATATAAACATATGCAGCTTTTGCTGCTATCACATCACATTGTCGACGTTTGTGAAAAAATGCACGGGTGTCAAAAAAATGTTGATCATGATCGTAGAATTTTGTTAATTCGAGAGCAAGTTAAGCATTTAAAGAAGCAGTTTCTAATACTGCAACATTCGATATTTGACTTAATCATAGAGGTAAACATTTTAAATATTACTTTTTGCAATCTTCTACGAGAGATCTATTAAATAAATTAATTTCTCTGACTTATTATAATTTTTTCACAAACGCGCGTTCCGAAAACAAGCATGTGAAACAAACGCAACTTTATTCACTCGGAATTTCACTCTTGACGTATTTGCGCGTCCGAAAAACAAATTGTCTTAAACGCAAACGCTTTCTACATATATACAACCTGTGTATCAACTCCCAGTTGGAAATTTCATCATATCATTTCCCAGTTGGAAATTTTATCGTGTCATTTTTACTATCTATTAAGATTAATATCTTGCTAACGCTGTTAGTGTGTGTATGTGTGTGCATTCACAATACACGTAATAAAACTCTGACCAATCAAATAATTTTGTGTGTATAGAACGGTGTGTTTACCGATGTTTATCTCTACAATATACACAACAAATTAATCAACTATATCATATCGCTGCTCTATCTGTTTCTGTGTTGCTAATTAACGGCTTTGTGTTAACTAGCTCCTAACAAAAACCACTTCATTTCAGGTGAACGGATTGCTCCGCCTCTTCAATGATCCAAAACGCTTCTCCGACGCTTCGCGGATCACCTCGAAAGGCGCTACCTTCATTCGATCTGTTTGCCTCTCTTCATTCTCGTCGCTGGGGAAATCTTCGAAGCTCATATTGCTGAAACCAGCGGTCGCGGCCGTGCTCTTTTTGCCCTTGGGTGTTTTCTTGTGGCTTGCCGATTTGATCTTGTGAGACGCCTTATAAGTCGGTAATACGTCGGTGACGTCACCGTGGTTTTCATTGATCAGGTGATACTTAGACTTGTCCGATTTGGTTTTGTCTTTCTTATTGTGTTTCGGCGTGTCGTCATCCGCGGCGACCAGAGGCTCGGGCGACATGGGTGACATCATATTGGATGTGATGTCCACCTTAGAGACGCTGTTGACTGCGTGCACGGTGATTCTTGCGGTATGCGTGGTGGTCGTTTGAATCATATAGGCGGACGGTTGTGGCTGTGATGGCGGGGTGGGTGTTAAATGAACGACGGTATTCTTTGGGGACTGCACGACGCTGCTAATTGGTAACGTCGTTAACGGGACATTGTCCACGTAGTTCGGCGATTGTGACTGCAACTGTGACAGCGACTGCGACAGCGACAGAGACGTCGGTCGTTGCTGCTGCTGCTCATTGAGCTTCAGCGAGGCGAATTCCTCGAACGGAATTGATCCGAAGAGATCCTTGGAGGGTTCCACACTAATCATTGGGTCGGAGTTCACCGTCACCATGCCATATTTCGACGTGGACGCGATTGTGCTCGAGTGACTAGTGAAATAATTGTCCGATGCCGCGTTGTGGGACTGCAGTGAAACGCAGTTGGCATAATCAATATACGATGAAGGACCGACTGGACTCAGGATTGACAGGGGCTGAGTCGGTGCGGAGTCGATGTTCGAAAAATTGGACTGAGCGTTGTTAAAGGGATTGGTGAATCCGCTCGGACTAAACGGGGAGGAACCGAAGAGATCCTTCTCAACGTTCTCCTCCTCATCCTCCTCCTCCTCCGCCTCCTCCTCGGCAACGCTGACGTGAGGACTGCTTTTGACTGGCGACGACGTTTGGATAGCGCTCGGCTGATGGAACGACACTGGCTCTTCGTAGATAGTCTTAGTATTCACAATTGCGATACTTTTGAGATATTTACAAGAGAGAACGGCAGACTTGGACGACGGAGGCGCGGGTTTACTTTCTACCACGTCTACAAACACCTCCGCTGGTATAGGCGAGCTCGAGATTGGCGTCACCAGATTCGAGTTGTGAGGCGAGTTTCTTGCACTGCCGCCTAGATCGATGTTCCTGGACTCGCTCTCGCGACTGTCGCTGCTCTTCCGCGAGCTGCTGGACCTCGGAAAAGGTGCCAAGGCGAACACGTCATCCTCCACTTTCCAGATCCCGTTGTTGAGCGACTTAGACTTGTCGTTGTCGTCAGACGAGCTGTCGCCGTTATTAAACAGCAGCGGCTTTGAGCCATACTGATGTCGCACGAAAGGATCGCCGTGCGACTGCTCCGGTTTGGACTCTGGGTCTAGTTCGTCGTCCAACAACAATGGCTTCTCACCATACTGATGGCCAACGATCGGATCCGCGTTGATTGTCGGCAGCTGTTGCTCCTGCTGCCGATAGTGGTGCTTCCTCGGCCTCTTCATCCTGTAGTCATCTTCATGTGTCGCAACAGACTCGCACTCGGCGTGATACGCCGAACTGCCACACGTGCGCACACTCTCGGAGATGGTCTCGTCGTGCTTTCCGCACACGTCGCCGTCCTCATCGTCCTCGTCGTCGTTCACCTCGCCGTCATTGCCTTCCTCGTCGTTCATCGCGCGTAGGTCGCTGGCCGAACCGATCGAATCGTCCGACTCGTAATCCACGTTCGTCACGTTATCCGCGTTGTCGTGCAGCTGAGCAGCGACTCTTCTTCTGCGACTCAGCACGTTCTTTACACGCCTTCTCTTTGCCTTCTTCGCTCGCTCCTTCACCTCCTTGGCTTCCTTGTCGCTATCACTCGATATCTCATCGGCATTGAATGCCAGCTTCTCGTATTTGGAACGGTCCTCCGCCGGCGCACGGACAAACGGCGGTGAAACTGGGCTGGATTCCGTAATCAAGGACGCCTCGTCGTCCACGCCACCAACGTTGCCACCGTGCTCAACCCCGGAATTCCACTGTGCCAAGGGCACTCTCGCTCTACCATTCGTTGATTTCCCTGAAAAACAGAGCGTCGCGTTACATTAATACAGATAACATCCGAAGCAAGACGTTTTTTTTTTCATATCAATGATAAGTGTATCTTATTTAGAACTAAACTATCACGTAAACCTTTGTTATCACTGAAGCGTAACGTACTTACCTATGTTTTTTCATTTTTTTTTTGCAAAATCTCATCAGAGAGATATGATTCGATAATGGTCTATGTTAGACAGTATCGATCCTCTCAATTAGCGAAACTCCCTCTTACGCTATGCAGAGTATCCCAAATCTTATAATGAAGAGAAACTGTGAGTATTTGCTTCCCAATATAAGAAATTATACTCTTAATCATTTTCTTAATTTGTTGCAACTATTTTTACTAATATTATATATAAAATATAATTGTTGTACTGTATTATACTATCAATTTATATATTTCGCTTTTAATACTTTTTTAAATCAAAATATTTGCAACTCATAAAATTTACAGATATAACTAATATGACTGATTTTATGATATAAAGCGTGATATTGTTATCTACAGAAGAGAAAGAATCAGAAAAAACGGGAAATGGTCTGATTAGGTCTGTTGCAAAGTGCACTTTGTTGAGTATGACGTGCATTGGTCTTTTTACTTAGTTTTACTATAATGAAATTCAGAGAAAGATATAATGTTAGATTTTTCGACATGGAGAAAGTAATACAATATACATATTTTAGGATAAGCTATTTGTTAGTACCGCCACCAATAGGTCTGGAACAGTCCTAATCAGATTTAGAGGATTGAGGATAAGTGTTAAAAACGCAGTAATGCTCTGAATAATAGATTTGCTTTAAGCCATCACGAGAGTACACATATCCTTGGCGAGATGCATTAGATTGTTCCCGCACAAAGGGCAAAGTATTGCTGCGTTTTCTGTACCAGTAGCGTTCAGAAAAAAACAAATACTCCGTATGCTAATTTACATTTTATTGCTGCAACATTATTTGTCTTAATACAGCGAGAAAAGTATTGTCCGAAGTGTTTGTCAGCCCCCTATAGTGCTCTCAATTCACAAAACAATTTCTCTCTTTTTCATACGAGTCTCGCTACAGATACCATTGAAGAAAAGCATGCTTGTATTTCGATGATGGCGAATGGGTAACAAGTACCTTTTTATATGATATATCGCAACTTAACTCATCGTAATTAAAATGTATCTCTCCAAGAGACAGTATGTTATTAGAGACACTATGGGAGGCAAACAAAGCAGGACAAGATTAATAAAGAAAGATTACGTAAATAAATTCGATTCGAAACGAAAGGGTTTATGCCTCCCAAACTCATTAGGTTGTTCCAGACATTGGACAGATAAGAGTATATAATTTCTCGTAAATTTTTCTTTCACAAAGAAATAAGCACATTTATCAACTATCGTCAATTGTTTCCGCCTTGCCCTTAGGGATCTGTGGTACTTACACACACTCAAGAAAAAATTAACATTACAGCGGTTTTGGTAATACTACTAGTGTCAGTAAAAAACAGATATCCTAACTTTGTTGGACTTTCTGCAATAAAATTAATTCTCCCCGATATATAATTTTTAAAAAAATATCAATGTGTCGTTATATTTGAATTATTACTTTGCTATTATTACTTCGCTATATAAAAACTTCATTAGGAAATATAACAATTATAACAAGTACATCCAATATTAATTAATGCCTATAGCACTTGTTACAATATAAGATATGTTATTTGATATAGATATTAACGCATTGGACAACAATACGTAAGACTAGTATGCAAAATACAAAAATACGCAACACAGATCATGATTTTTTACACTTTCATATAAGATAAAGTGATGTAATTTAGCAACGCTGCCTTCTAATTATTTCTCTTACAAGTTTCAGAGGTTACCAATGATAAATTACATCATTTTATCTAAAAATTTTGTATATAGGCCAAGGAAAAATACAAGTGGAGAAATTAGTTATACCAAAGTGAAACCCAAATTAACAAATACCGTGTAAAAGCGGTGTAATTGAAATATTATATTATGAAAAGAAATTAACAAACAAGAAATTAAAAAAGATACAATTCAGGTGAAAGAAACGAAGGACGAGGGAGAAGAGCGAGAAATGAAAATAATCGCTAAAAGTATTATTTGCCAGCCACTGTAGTATTACCATCGCGCGAAGCAGATACAATCTTATGATCTTTATATAATAATCCTTAACGTATGTCTGTATGTATATATTCACGCATTGCGCCAGAGATTCGTCATTTTGTGGAAAGGAAAGGTTCATATTATTACTTCCGCACACAAAAATAAATCTCCATATTCGACAATATATCCAGAAACGTTCTTCCCAGTTCCATACTTCTCGCGTTAACACATGTTTTAATGGCATTGCGTATAATATTCTTTTAGAACTTGAAACCTATTTTTCTCACGTTCTTCCTTTTATATGCTATATAATACAATCATTATAACACATGATACGTTTGCACGTATATGTATATGAGTAGGACAAAATAGTGTACCTAAACTTTGTGTATCACATAATATATAACATAATTTTTCATATATATATATATTGCATTATGTATATATATATATATATATATACATGTAGATGTATGTATTTTATAATATATGCAATATATGTAATATTTATATGTAATTTGTTCCTCCCCTTTATCAACACACCAACTATTCTGTATGGAAACACTAAAATAAAAGCTAATTTCCGCTTTGTGCACTACATATCATAGGAACATCTATCATTAAAGACAAAATTTTTTAGCCTATATGTATGTTCATCGTATTTTCAACAGTACTTAATAATTACACTTGTTCTAACATAATTTAATATACAGCGTATTTTTCGTGTCTAATGTTCGATGTATTATCCTTACGCTGTAATTTACTATTTGAGGTAAGTAGAAGTTAATATGTAATTTACTGGTAATATTCTACCATTCCTTTCTCACATAATTGAGCATAACTGAGCAGATTTACATCACAATCACTTTTTTACAGATATATTGGTAAAATAATCAATTCTCCAATCATCTTTTTTAAAACGGTAACTAAGTATTTTGACAAGCAAGTAAAATCAACGTAAAAGAAAAAAAAATTTTATGAATTTTTTAGTCTATTTCTAAAAATTTCAACAAGCATAAAGATATGGTTGAAATGAATAATTATATACTTATGTATGTATTATACGCGTGTCGTTAAAAACTAAATTTTTTAAAAAATTACACAATAATTTTTCGATTATAAGTAAATATATCTCGAAATATATATAGAAATAAAGTCAGATCTATTTCCTCGCAAAAAATAATTTGGGCTTAGATTACACTTCCTGTTAATTATATTTATCACATTATATTTAACAGATAAAATTTATGTTTAAAATAAGGAGAGCGTTATATAATAAGTTTTTGAAACTCATTAGTTAACTAAGACACTTTTTTCATTTCCATTTATATCAGTAGCAACATTTAGAAACATATCACATGTCTTTGGTAAATTAGATAGTAGTATAATTCGATTCCTTTATTTATCTAAAAAAAAATAAACATTTTTTTAAAAACATTAGTTCCTTCTAATTAAATTTAATGAAGCAGTGCAACAATATAGTCAACATTATCACACAGTAATTGATTATGTATTATATCACAAATCAAGTTTCGCATATAATATTAATTCGAAATTGAGAGAGGAAATATTTACTTTATATATTACTTCGAAACATTTTTCATTTTTTTATTGTTATTTCAAATTCTGAAAATTAAGATTTATGTACATGGAAGTGCAGGAAAGCGTAACATGCCGATAATCATCAGCATTTATCTACATCTATTGTCCACAAATATTTTGTATAAATACATTGCTAATTATATCTATATTTTATTCAATAATAATTCCAATTATGAGCAATTGAAAATAATATAAATCCAAGGAAAAAAAATTTGAATTGTAAGAAAAAAATTTTTTCTGATTTTATAAGGGGAGGCTCTGGAGTGGCCCTCACTGATTTCAATGAAACTTGGCAGGATTATTGTGTTTCCCTGAATAAAAATCACCCCCTATTTGGACGTAGACGGTTTACTATTTCCGAGATATTTCAATATTAAAGTTGATAACGGCATTTTCTTTAGAGTATTAGAACGTTCATACTCGAGTATTTGTAGCATAATGGAAATGCAAAACAACCTCTCCATACATCACAGAATTTGCAGCGATATCGCTGCAAAATCTGCAATACGTTCTAATAAACTCTAAAGGAAATGACGTTATCAACTTTAATATTGAAATATCTCGGAAACGGTAGACCGTCTATGCTCAAATAGGGGGTATTTTTATTCAGAGGAACACACTTTACAATTCTGCCATGTTTTATTGAAATCGGTGAGGGTCACTCTGGAGTGGTCCTCTTGTTAGATGAACCGTTCTTCATTTCTGTTATTGATCTATACCCTCACATGTGTTGTTATGATTCACAAAGGTTTCTATTTTATATAATTTGTGCTGAATGTTTCATAATTTAATTATTTCGTCAATTATATATAAAATTAAACTAAAAACACAAGCAAAATTACGTAATAACAATAAAAAAATAATTAAATCTACTTAATTAGATTATCGAATGAAGACTGTGATGTTTTATAAATTCGTAATTATTAAACATATTTAATATCTCTCTAATTTTTCATATTTATATATATACATAAAGCTAAATTATGAAATTTTGGAGAAAGTCTTAGTTGTATAACAAAGTTACTTCTTTTAGTACTTTATTTCTTATAAAGTAATTTGGTAAATTAAAAATTAATTATAATAAAAAATTTAAAAATTAAACTATTATTATATTTTAGTATTTATATTGTAAACTATATTTATAAAGCTTTGTATATATTCACTGATATATAAGAAACAAATGTTAAACTAATAAAACTATGCATATTCAATAATATGCATAAAAAGAATCTCTTCACAAATATATCACATTTTAAATAAACAGTTTGTCAGAACTTATTATTTGGTAAACTAACTACCGAATTTCATAAATTTACTGGCATACTTGATATACAACTTAGACTGAAAACGATGAAAGACAATGGTTATAACTACAGCTTCAAAACCTCACGTAGCGATGATGGCAAAAGGAAGAAACCAAGTATTAAGACAGCGAGCGAATGACTTTCAAACCAAGTATAGATTAATAGATTAATACAGGAATAAGAGGAAGAGAGATGATGAAGGATAGTGTAAGAAGGATTTTATGCATTACCTCCAGCAATAGCAGCAGTCTTTGACCCAATTTTATTCTTCTTCCCCGCTAAGAAAGAATCAAAATATTAATAAATATTTCAACCTTATAATAAAATATACATGTTTGTTTATTTTGGAGGACTAATATAAAGGAGGAGTGTCTATAAAGTCTGACCCAGACTCTATATCTCGAAAACAGCTGTAGATATGGAAAAATATTTCTTACGAAAATTGTAGGATATCAAGATTATTAGAGATCATTCTTCTTATTTTCGTATTTACATAAAAGTAAATTTTAAGTGTAAAAATGAAAATAAGAGACTTCTAATAACTTTGATCTTAACAATCCAGTCCAGTGTTATCCAGGATATGATGCTGAACAACGTTCAAAAGATTTTAGCTATTGATCGGACATCTTGAGTAATACTTTGATAATGACAATACTGTAACTTTCAATCTTTATAACTCGAAAAGTACTAAATAAAAATAAATTTTATTATAGTGTTTTGAAAAGTTCTCGGGGTGAGCTACAAGAATATGTAATAAAAAATAGGGAGTTCTATTTATGAAAACATCGGTCACATTAACCTAATCTTGAGAAGATCACTCAAAGTCAAGTCCATATTTTCATCATACATCCCCCCCTTAATATCCCACAACTTTCGTATAAAACATTTTTCCATATCTATAGCCATTTCCGAGACATAAGTCAGGTCAGACTTTATACACACCCTTTAGAATTTTAACGAGAACTTACTTGGCAGGCTAAAGGGTGCAGATTCAAAAGGATCTTCTGGTAATTCCGTATATGTCATAACAAGGCTTTCGCGACTTTTTACCCCACTGATACTGGTGTTGCTTCCTCTCCTTATTTTATCAAATTCAGCACCAAAGATATGATCTTCCGTTAACTGATTAAAAGGCTGTACATCCTCAAACGGATTCCACGTCGCTACGTCTGCGCTCAATGATCTCCCCTCTGATCCCATTAGGCTTGAAAGTTCACCCTGATAAAAATGTAGGCAAATTTTTTAATATTAACTGTTTTCAAAAAATACTTTCAATATCAATAGTTATTTGAAGATGAAGGATTATCATTAATGCTAGTGCAGTGCATAAAATAATAATAATAATAATAATAATAATAACAACAACAACAACAAATACAAATATATATTAAAAAACGAGATTTTAAGTAAATAAAAATAAAATAAAATTTCACATTTTACGTATAATCTACGCGATATTTTCATCTAAAGAAATTTTTATTTTATTTGTATTATTGAATAACTTTCCAATGCCTCTAAAATAACTTTATCACCTTTTCATATATATAATGTTATGGCGAATTTGATTGGAAACACTAGTGCATATTAAAGCCGTTGTACACTGATTTCATTTAAGTATAAAAATGAAATGCAAATATTTCGAATTATGAAATAAATACATATTTTACCTAATAGTACAATAAAATGTATTGAGCATTTTACGATTTAATCGATTTCTATGTTTATTTATAACATATCTTTACGTTATTTTGTGTACGACGGTTTTAATGTGTACCAGTGCGCACTGAGTGCGTCCAATCGAATTCGCTAATAGATATAATTTTAAACTATAGTAAATACAGAACGGAAATTTTTCCAATAATGTAAAACGCGATTCGTATTTTGTAAACGGACGAACGTTCAACAAAAATAAATATAAAATTGTGCGCTTCGTGTACTTACAACACGTACATGCGAGGCACTAGTTGCTATACAAGGCCTTGTGTCACTTGGAAGTTCCGGTGGCGTAGTTGGATCATCTGAACGTGGCTTGACCGAAGCCTCATATGGCGCTAAGAATTGAGTGGTTTCAGTTGCAAACGCTCTGTAAATTTCGAAACGACCATTATAAATATAAATATCTTAGATACTTAAATCTTACGAAGAGGAATATCCTGATATCTTAAAACTATCATGTATACGGCAGCGTCAATTTAAAAGAAATTTGCCAAATATTTAAGTCTCATAAGTCGATTAGGGATGGATCGGATATCCGAAAAGTATCCGGTATCTGGTATTATCCGGCACTTTTTTACTATCCGATCTGATAGCTGGATATCATTAATGTCCGGGAATATATCCGGTTGAAAGGACCCCGCACAAACTTTTTATCAGAACGACAAGATCTACAATATATCAAATTTTCAGGCAATTTGACCGAAATTCAATTTCCATAAGATTTGTGCGGGGTCCTATGATATCATTAAATTGTCGATTTATACAAATATTCTAAAAATAAGTATGCATATTCGTGATGCTATAATGGGTGTATTCCGAACCGGGTTAGCTTATTTTTTTCCCTAGATGTTGGCAGTTCTGTAACT